AAGACATGTATCATATGATCTCACTGATACAAGGAATTCTTAATCTCAGGAAACAAACTGAGGGTTGCTGGAGTGATGGGGGGTGGGAGGGATGGGGTGGCTGGGTGATAGACATTGGGGAGGGTATATGCTATGGTGAGCACTGTGAATTGTGTAAGATTGATGAATCACAGACCTGTACCTCTGAAACAAATAATACATTATATGTTAAAAAAAAAATAGTAGGAAGGGAAAAATGAAGGGGGGGAATCGGAGAGGGAGATGAACTATGAGAGACTATGGACTCTGAGAAACAAACTGAGGGTTCTAGAGGGGAGGGGGGTGGGGGGAGGGGTTAGCCTGGTGATGGGTATTAAAGAGGGCACGTATTGAATGGAGCACTGGGTGTTATACGCAAACAATGAATCATGGAACACTACATCAAAAACTAATGATGTAGTGTATGGTGATTCACATAACATAATAAAATTTAAAAAATAATTCTATTATGCTTTGATTGTATAGAATATCTGACAGCCTAGTACAAACACATAGCTGCATTTCTTTAAACAAGTCTATTATATCTTGGGTTTATACCAAAATAACTTTGAGGACTGTGATCCATATAACAGACTTTCTTTACAAAGTTATTTGCCTTGATTTTCCTTTAAGTAGCAAACTTCTTCAGTGCATTTTATTTTTTCCCTATTAGAACCTTTTATTCTGAATTTGTTGGTGCTTCAAGAAAAGGGCTTTGCCCATAATTCATTGGGCCCTGAACTTATGACACCAACTTGTATTTGGCCAATTAGGAACATGGCCAAACTGCATTCTTCTTGGGTCTATTCAGTTAATAAATGGCACTTAATTGATGGTTTCTTTCATATAATCTTTACCAAGAACTCATAAGTTGCATTGATTATGCCCCAAGAGATGAGAGACCGATGGTAATTCAGGTGAGCACCTCTGAAAAGATTTGTCAGCTTCCTGTCCCACTCTAGCCAGATTTTCTGGAAAACCTTGGAAAATGACTGAAATTCCCCACCAATCTGAGACTGCAGATGAGTTTTCACAACATTAACTGGGAAAACAAGATTCCGAACAAAGCACCCAACAGACCTCCATAGATAGAATCATTGTGTAAATGAGTGCTGTGAGTCGTTGCGGTAGGCAGATGCTCCTTAATGGGACCTCAAAGGCCAAAGAAAAGACATTGCCGAATCCATTACAGAAAAGAACAGGTACCAAGCCTCGATAATACTCTCACTCCATGGCATCTGAGTGCCTTGAAAGCCTGGTAAGTGTTTGTAAATTTGTCATTATGCTTGTGGTCTTGGAGCAATGTCCGAACTTTTTCCATTGGAGTGAAAATTGCTTCTGCTGTCCCTGCAAGGAGTGTGGCCACACTGCGGGTCGCAAACTCGTGGGGTACTGATGTGTTGTCAGAGAAGGCAAGATAAGTCCTCGTACAGGCCAAACCCAAGTGCCAGTGTAGTTGTCTTCTGCATCAGTGGGGGCAGGATCCTGCCGTACAAGTTTTGAAACCATCTCTCCTCGACTGAAGCACTGCGTCCCAGGTTTTGATTCCAGACAGCTGTTGCCAAAGAGCACCTTCCGAGTGGGAAATGGGATTGCCGCGTTGTTGAAAGCCGCACAGCAGCCGCAGACGTAATGCGTCATTTCACCAACATTTGCATTAGGAGGTGATAGACCTTGTTTTGAAGATGTTAGGCTGGGCAGCCTCTTTCCAGGAGCTTCTGAATCCACCATGTGGCTTAAGACCTTTCTTCTTCATGAAGGATATTTTTAACCTGTAACACCAACTGGGCCTGGTGTTTGGGAGGATGGTAGTTTTTGGATAACTTTCTCAATTTCTTCCATTGTTACTGGTCCGTTAGGTCCTTTCTTCTGCAGTCAATTTTGATACCGGATTTCCTGAAATATCCAGGCTCCATGACAGTCTTGCCACAGAAAGAAAAATCAAATAGGCAACGGCAGCCATCTTTCTGC